GTCAGCCCCTCCCTGGGCCCAGGCCTACTTGAGCTCCTGAGGCCCTGCTGTTTGTGATCACTGAGGGCTGACTCTGAGGGGGCCAGGCCAGCAGAGTTCCCAGTGGACATCTAGTCTGCATGTGAAGATGAAGGTCCAGCACCCACTGACCACCAGCAGTGCCCCAGGCCTGTGTACACTCCATCTCCCTGAGAAGCAGGCATTCTCATTCCTCCTCTAGAGCCTGGACACAGGACTGGGGCTATTACATAGCCGGTCCGTGGCAGAGCCCAAAGGGAGCCACAGACCTGGACACTGTTGTCCGTGCTGCTGTGGAAGTGGTCCTGACAGGTCCATCTGCAGCCTGAGGGCCCAGGATGGAAGCAGTGAGGGGAATGCATGCTGTCATTGACAAGTGATGAGCACAGGGCAGGGAGGTGCAGAGGCCCCCAAAAGACCTGAGTATCCCAGCATCGGTGGCCAGGGAAGCAGCCTGACAACACATAGGTGTTTGGGGCACAGAGCCACATGGCCCAGCACCAACAGATGCACCTATTTGCATATAAATTAATTTAAGTGAAATTTGAAAGCTGGATTCTCAGTGGCAATAGCCACATTTTGAGTGCCCAGTAGCCACATATGGCCTACGGCTGCCATTGTGGATGGTATAGATGAATAAGCCCATCACCAAGGGAAGTTCTGTGGGCCTGGGCTGGGCAGGCACGGAGCACATGGTCACAAATCCAGCTTGGGGGCAGAGCCCACACAAGTACACTCAAGACACTTCAAGTACCTGTGTCCCCAGATGTGGTGGGGTCAGTTGTCCCCAAAGAAAGTGCCCACGGGAGAGCCTGCTGCTAGGGGGTCCAGGAGCTACTCCAGGCTGAGCTGCACTGAGCCAATGGTGAATACTCCCTGCCCATGAGCAGTGAGGGAGCTCAGCACCACTTGGGTGGCCATGGGTAAGGGACAGGCTGTGTTCCAGAGGGCGGGGGTGGGGACAAGGTGGAGTAAGTGATGTCATGCCTAGCACCCATCCCTCTGACTCTGTGACTCTGCACTTAGCTTTTCTGATGTTGAGGGGTATCCAGGCCATCAGGGGTGCTGCCAGGAGCAGTAGCCAGGTCTGAGTGTCCCTAAGTTATGGATAGATGGGTGTCCCACCAAGGAGAATGAGCCCAGAGAGCAGCCCCTTCAGGGGACCTACTGTCCCCCAGGTGCCCACTGACCTGAGGCCATGTCTATGCTGAAGGAAACTTAGACATCATAACCGACCCACCTTACAGATGGACAACTGAGGCCAGATCAGGGAGGGACTTCCTCAGGGCCTAGTAGTGTTGGTGGCAGAGCCAGGGGAGTCTTGGGCTCCCATCTGATGGGCCTGTCTGGCTGTATATCCATCCATCCCTATGTCCACTGTTTGTCCAGCCAGCCTGTGAGCTTGGTGTGTTCTACCATCACCCTGGCCCTGAAGGAGCAGAGGGGCAAAGCAGGGTGGATCCTCCCTCCCCATGTGCACAACTGGGAGCATTCAGCACTGGCCAGAATTTCACTTAATGCCCATTCTGCCCTACTGTCCAGGGCCCTACCTCTCACAGCAGCTCTGGGCTTGTCAGGGGCTGGGGCCTGGTTTTTTGAGGATGGGCCAGCTCTGCCTACATCCTTCCTCTGGGCAGACAGGGCATGGAAGGTCCCAAATCACTGAGGCAGGCTGGCCAGGGTTGCCCAGGGAGGGCAAACTAGGAAGTACCAAGCTAGTGCTGAGGAGGTCAGAATCTGCTTCTCATGAGGAAAATGAGTCTGCACTGCACCATGCCTGCGTCTGCATCCCTGCACTAGGGGCTAGAGTCGTAGGCTGTGTTCAGCTTCTGCCAGGTGATCTGGGCTTGCTCATAGTTACGACTGAGGTCAAGCCCTCTGTGATGCTCAGGGGCCAAGTCTCTCATCTCATGGGACATTTCCATCTGTAGAATGCCAGGAAGGATGGGCCCTTGGGACTGTGGGATCCTGGCTGTGACAGTTGATCAGGCAGAGGCCTGCTGGATGGAGAGGGACCCAGGGTCCTGGCCAGGCTGTTCCTTAAGTAGATGGTTGAAGAACTCCTCCTTTGTTGGCTGGGTCTCCCACACATCTGTCCTGGGTGCCCGGCATGTGGCATGCATGGCCTGCACAGCAGGGCTTCTGCCTTCCTGTCGGGCCTCCAGGAACCCCTGGACCCTAACATGGGTGCCTCCCATAGTGAGTGGTAGACAGTAGGGAGGAGTGACACTTGCCCCTCACATCTCTCCTCTGACCAGGGACACGAAGTCACAGGCTTTGAAACATTACTGTCATTCCCAAGCACTGAGGTCTCCAGTGTCTCAGGCTGCTGATGACAGACTGCTGGTGAGTGGGTAGGGGGGCTAGGCCAAGGGGCTCTTGCGATTTCGGGTCAATGCAGTTTGACCCAAATGCAGTTTGGAAATGTTAACATCTTGTCACCGCAAATCCTGCCTGAGAGCAGCAAGGTGAAATCTGGTCCGCCTGCGTTCCTGCCTCTGCCTCAGGCCAGTCCGGGGAGGGCTCAGCCCTCTGCCCTCTGAGGATTTTCCAGGTCCACACCAGCCAGGTGTCCAGGTGTGCAAACTCAGGCCTGGTCCTCACACTTGTGTCAGCCGGCTTCCCACACTTGGATACTAAGTTTAGGCCTGGACACTACCATGGCGGACCCCACATGGCCTGGCCACGTTCCCGTCCTTCAGCTTCTCAGACTGGGTCCTTCTTTCAAAATATGCAGCCAAGCTGCGGGGCCTCTGAGCCTCCAGCCCCATAACTGGCCGAGGTTACTGTCACACACAGCTGAGGATGGAGTCCAGGCTGCAGGCAGTGGCCACAGCTCAGCTTGGGGCTCTCTCTGTGGGTATTCCCCAAAAGCTGTGCACAGCTCTGGTTCCCAGAGCTTCACTTGGTCCAAGAATGATTTCCCCTTCAGCCTTCCATGAACCAGTGTGGACAGCTGGGTGTGTGGGGGGATAGGCTGTTTCTGTGACTCCGCGGACATGTCTCAACAGGACCTTGGCTGGGAATGGTCCTGCCCGTCCATAGGCCACTTTGGGAGCTGTTGAAAGCACAGTGCAGATGCACACTGCGAACCAAGTTCACTGGCAACCACACTAAGGTGGTTGTCATGGCTGGCCATGATGGTGTCTCAGCCATGTCACAGCTGACGTTGGAGGGGACTGGTGGGCAGGGTGGGGAGGCTGGGACAGAGGTGGCATGTGGGCTGAGGTTCAGGAGAGAATCTACACAGTGGAACTGCCTTGTTTTTAAATGTGGGCAAGTGAATTCCAGTTTTTTAAAAGCACTATGGGTGAAACCAAGCATGTTGGCCTGCTGGGTACAGTGTCAGCAGCTTCTGTAGCTGGGATTCCTAAGGAGAAGAGTGGCTGTTGTGCCTAAATCAGAAGGAATTGCTGACTTCCCACAAAGCCAGAACATTGGTGCTACTGGATCTTAGTAAGTTTGAAACAGAAAGGCCTAAGGACTGAGGCACAACTCCCATACTGCCAGCTTCTTTGAGCCTGGCATCTGCACAGTATTCCCCTAACGGCCCTGGGCACCTCAAAACACTCCCCTCCAAACCCTCTAGTTGCAGAACCCGGCGTTCTGGGTTTTTTTGGTGTGTTGTGGAATATGGAATTAATTTCTTTGGAAAATACTGCCATCAATCACTAACGTGCAGGAATAGGTGGTGGTCCACCTCTGGCTCTGTGTCACATGTCATCAGGTGGCTTGTGGCTCCAAAGTGTCCCCATCTGCTCCCAGGCAGAAAGGGCCCCACGGTGGTAGCACCTCATTTGTGCTAAAGTTGGTAAGGAGTTTGTCGTACAGCTGGGTGGACTTACATCCAAATCCTAACAGATCTCAGAGGGGCAGGCGCCATTACAAGCTGTTGTCCAAATGAGGCCTGCCATCCCTGCAGGACTGCAGACATCAGGAGTGCAGGGAGGGGAGGCATGCCAGCCTCATCAGAGCCTTTATGGTGTGAATGTCACTGCCAAGGCTCCAGAGTGGGGTCTCAGGGACTCTGTCACCCAAAGTCCCTCCTTCTCTGACTGGGAACCCCAAGTGCTGTACGGTCCTGGGCCTAGCATTCTGGGAGACACACAGTTGGCTTAGCCGTTTGGACATGTGAAGGGAAAGACATCCTTGGTGGAACAGGGTGAGCAAAGGTGGGAAGGAGGGCCAGAAGACACGTACATGAAACCAGGTGGTTGTGACCCAGCAGGAGAGCGGGGAAGCTGTGGCACAGGTCCAGTGCCAGATGCCTGAAAGACCCCACATCCTTCCTTCCAGGGAGCTGACAGTGACTGTGCGAGAGGTTGTCCCACCTGGTCCTGGCCCCAGAAAAAGTCTGTGTCTGGGTTAAGTTAGGGGTGACCCTATACAGCCAGGCCTGTCCTCCTCTGCCCTTGATGGCAGAGCCCTGGCCTAGCATACACAAGGCCCTGGGTTCTATCCCCAGCATTGCAAGGTCAAGATAATGTATTTACTGTAAGTTTAGATCATTTGTTTTTATCTTTGATGATACTGGGGGTTGAACTCAGGGCCTTGCAATTGCTAGGCTAGTGCTCTATCACTTGAGCTAAGCTCCCAGCCCTTTTGGCATTAGTTATTTTTTGAATAGGGTCTTGTGTTTATGCTCAGGCTGGTCTGGACCAGGATCCTCTATTCATGCCTCCCGTGTAGTTGGGACAGGCACACACCACCACGCCCAGCTTTTTATTGGTCTCACTAACTTTTTGCCTGGGCTGGCTCGAACTGCAATCCTCCTGAGTAGCTGGGATTACAGGTGTAATTCAGCCACAGCACCCGGCTTGATTTTTAATGATGACTGTGACAACTGGTTAGCAGAATTCTTAGAATCAATGTCAGCTCCAGAAGCCAGCCCGAGCTACATCCAGCACACAGTAGCCTTTCTCCTTCAAACAGAGCTCGTCCCAATGACAAACCCTCTCTTGTGTTTGCCCCTTTTCCTCTAGGCAAACAAGAGAGCAGGAGACACCCCCTGACTTTTTTTATTTCTCGGACTATGAGAGGCACAACGCAGAGATCGCTGCCTTCCACCTGGACAGGTGAGTCACCCCCTGTCCTCTGCAGTGGAACCACCCAGTGCCAGGCCCATGAAGGGTTCACCGTGCAGCAGGTCCACTGGTTCACATCCACGAGGAGCCACAAGCCTGGGCTCTGGGGTTCATAGGGCCTCACCATCATTCGGATACCACCGTAGCTGCTCTCGTCATGCCGTGCTCTCTGTTCTCAGCTCATGACACACACAGATGGGTGACCATCATAGGTCCATCTCACAGACCAGAACACTGAGGCTCTGATAGAACAGTATGCCCAGAGATGGCCTCTGTCCTCACAGCACTTGTGATCCTCCGGTGTGCCTAGCAGAGAGCAGCACAGGCAAATGGCAAATGATGATCGTTTGGGGAAAAAAAGGAAAAAGAAAAGAAGGCAGAGGGAGAGGAGGAACTGCCAATCACAGGTCTGACTTTTCTGGGAGCCCAGGAAGGCTTCATGGAAGAAGTGGTGTTCATGGTGACAGCAGGAAGGAGACCCCCTTGGTGACCTGTGTCCTGCAGGATGCCCCCAGCCCAGCAGAACATGGTCTCTGTTTAGGTTCTGCTTGGCCCTTTGTTGCTGGGGATGTGGGGGATGACGCCTAACCCTATGACACAGCCTCAGTGTTCTGTGCCCTTGGGGTCAAAAGGACTGAGGGACCCCTGCTCAGATTGCAATAGAGGGCAGAGTCTCCACCTTTGCCATCTGGACCCTTCCAGCTGACCTCAGACCCAGCTGGACATGGCGTGTCAGCTCTACTGTCCCCCAGACAGCTGTGGGTCACCAGGGCTGGCTGGAATATGGAGTCCAGTCTGCACCTCAGACCCATGGACCAGAACGGGGTCTGAGGTGCAGCCTGGACCCACCGGCTCCCAGGAGACCTATGTGAGGTTATAAACCTTCTGTGGTGACTACAGAAAAAGTCAGACTTCCAGCTACCTAGAGCAGCTCAAACCTGGCAAAGCCTTTCTGTGCAAAGAACATGGGGGCCTCAGGCCAGCAAGGCCACTTCTTAAGGAATGGGGACCCATCGGGCAGACTGGTTCATAAAACAGGGCAGCAAAGTCCACAGTGCTTCTGCCATTGGGGAAAGTGGCAGGATGCTGGCCTATGTGGGATCCTAGGGCCTTGGTCCTGGGCATGTGGCCTGTCCCTCCCTGCCTGGCCACCTCTGCACAGAGCACAACTGACCATGCCACACAGCCCATCCCAACATCCTGTGTCAGCAGAAAAGCTGGCATCCAGCACCTCCATTCAATTAAGTAAACAGCAGTGTGCACAGGCAGAAAGAGTCCTATTAACAGCGGTTAATTTAATTTAATTTTGTTTTAAATTTAGCCCTGGAATGAGGGCATGTTTTAGTCCCAGGCACCTGGCAGAGCTGACACTAGCATGTCAGGAATGGACCACAGTCCAACTGGGTGCATTTTGTGCTGGCACTGATGGTACCAGGTAGAACCACTGTCCAAAAGTAGATGTAGACGTCGATGTAGACGAGGACAGGAGAGGTGAGAATTAGCCAAGAGCCGAGAATTAGCCACAGAGAATAAAGACTCCTTTCCTCCCTTTTCTCACCAGGATCCTGGACTTCCGCCGAGTCCCTCCCGTGGCGGGCAGGATGGTCAACATGACAAAGGAAATCCGGGACGTCACGAGAGACAAGAAACTGTGGAGGACTTTCTTTGTCTCTCCAGGTAGCTATGCAGGGCCGCCCTCACCCCTGAGAAATCTCTGCAGAATTCTGTCCATCTGCTCAGGAGTGGGCTGTGTGTCCTCCATGTCCAGGGGTGCTAACCTGCATAGCTGTGGAGGGCTGTCGAACATGGCTGGACCCTCCCGACTGACTCCTTTCCCGTGCCGGGCACAAAGGTGTTTCCACCCTGTGTATTTTTAAAGGTCTCCTCCAGGCAGTCTGGCTGTGGGAAACCTGTTTTCCAAAACATCCCAGATCCTAAAACCCAGCAGGACCCACGCCTGGTGACGGGCTGGTGGCCTTCAGCTGGGGCAGGTGGTTGTGAGCTGGTGCCTGGCTCTCGGGGAAATGTGGTCTAACTGAGGTGCTCGAGTTTACGAGCCTTTGAGACTTTATGTCATGAACCCCAAGTGCACACAGAAACAAATCCTGTTCCGTTTATGGTCCACCTGTGTGCTTGGGACCCAGCATTAGAAAATCTGCTGATCCGTCCAATCTGTCCGTCCTCACAGTTCTTCCTTGGCCTGTACCGAGCCTTTCATTCCTGGTCCCCTCTGCCACGTGCTTGGGTTGTAGGAGCCCCTTCTGTGTCGGGTCCATTCTCAGAGGTGCTGGGTGGTCCCAGCAATACTGTGTGATGAGGCCGTGTGGTGCATCTCCCACCGCAGGAAGGCTGCAGCTGCACCTCCACCTCCTCCAGCTCTGCACTCCGTGCAGATAAGTACAATTAAGGCCTTTGATTAGCTGAGTCTTCAGATATGCACACACAGAAGCCCGACCTAAAAGCTCATTTCTTGTAGCTGCTTCAGATCGATATACTCTGTACTTTTTCTTAACTGCATCCATAAATTTGTCAGAATCGAGGGCCATGAATCCGTCCTTTAATTAAGCTCCATTTTCATCAATGAGAGCTCACCCTCGTCCTTGCATGGCCTCTTCCTCTCAGAGCTCATTAATAAAAGTAGGACAGAAACCCCCAAAAGGCAGAGAAGAATGTTCCCCATTCCCTGGTGCCCTGATGCCTGGTCTGCCGTGACCAGCAAGCCAGGACTGAGTAAGAGCCTGTGTTGGGAGGGTCTTTGGGGTCGGGGTCAGGAGCTCGCACCCACAGATGGCTCAGGCCCACCTGAACGGCCTGTGCTATTAGCAGAGGCTTCCCTCCCAAAGGGCTGAAACCACCCCCAGTCTGTACTCCAAGGCTTCCTGTTGGGATCCTGGTGTCTGGGCTCCTGCTCTCTTCAGTCGTGAGAACTTAGCCCCAAATCCCAGTACCTCCACCGTCCAGCTCCCGCCGTCTGCCTCCACTTCCCATAGGGTCAGACCACCTTTCCATCTGGCTGTGCACAGTGATAAATTTCAAAGTTTCATGAAATTAACAGTGACACCCTGTACTTGGGTGTCCCCACTCTGGTTAGCAATTAACAACTCCTGTCTGGCCCAGTGCTCCATGTTTCAGACCAGGCTGCCTTCCTGGGCTCTGAATTCAAGATAGAAGATGAGAGCTGGCGGAGCAGCTCAAGTGGGAGAGCACCTGCCTAGCAAGTGTGAGGCCCTGAGTTCAAACCCCAGCACTGCCAAAAAAATAAAAATTAAATTAAGATACAAGAGAAAGACCATCACAGACTGGGCAGGAAGGGGTCCGAACGCCCCATCACTGCTGAGAACACGCAGGGAGGACTGTGTTATCTCTACCTCAAGTTACAGCCCGCAGGCTTAGTGTCACACCCTGGGCAGTACCACTCCCAGATCCCTCAGACAGTGCATGGACAGGTGGGACAGCCATTGGGAAGACCACCTCCGGAGACTCCACCTCTCCATATCCCAGCCAGCCCTGGTGGCCCGCAGCTGTCTGGGAGACAGTAGAGCTGACACGCCATGTCCAGCTGGGTCTGAGGTCAGCTGGAAGGGTCTGGATGGCAAAGGTGGAGACTCTGCCCTCTACTGCAACCTGAGCAGGGGTCCCTCAGTCCTTTGGACCCTTTAGAGCTGACCCGACAGTCAGGCCTATGAATGGCCCCTCCAAGGGCACAGAACACTGAGGCTGTGTCACAGGGTTGGGCATCATCCCTCACATCCCCAGCAGCAAAGGGCCAAACATGCACATCCAGGCCCCGGGAACCTGGAGCCATGGGAGTCACAGGGCTCCTAGCGTCCCACAAATTCCTGTGGGTCAGAGCACAACCTCCACAGGACACACAGTGACTCAGAACAGGTAGAAGCAGGAGAGCAGCCGGGTGGCCACCCCATAACAGACCAGCAATGAGGTCCAGAGGGAGGGGCAACCAGCACTGCGCACAGCTCTCTCCACCCCTGGGCACAGCAAGTCCAATCTCCCCACCTCCCCTGGCCTCGGCACCCCAGAGCCAGCGCTGGATAATTACAATGGGAAGATCAGAGGGAGATCAGCCTGCCCAGCCCTGGGCTGGACCCTGATATGGTTTAACCAGCAGCTATAAAGCCATCAGAGCTGAGGTGGCAGCTCCATTTTCAGGAGTGAAATCTCTATCCAATCTCTTACTGACCAGAGCTATGAAATTGGATGGCTCTGGTGGCCTCCCGTCCTACCTAAGCTGGGCTTGGGTGAGATCAGAGTGAAAGGAAAGGCATGTCACAGCCCACTCCTTCTGACACATGCAGATCCGGTTTTAAAGGGGCACCCAGGGCAGGGAAGACGGTGCTCCGAAGCCCAGGTGTGAGGCCAGCACCTCTCTGTGCTCCCGTCCCTCACCTGTGCAGTGAGGGTGGAGCTGCATCTACCACAGGGACTGAGAAATTATACAAGGCAACTGAATAAGCCAAGCTGAGATCGCCCCACAGTGAGAATGGGTGGGCTTTGGGGAGAAAGGGAGTGCATCCATTCAGGGCTGGGGCTCCAGGTCCACCTCCTCCAATGGCCTGAAGAGGGGGCCCATGAGCTCCCTAGGGCCCTAAGTGCTCAGTTTCAAAAGTCCAGTGGTCCTGACCGAAGGGGCGTGAGCAAGCAGAACAGGCCTGTGTGAACATCCCACGGTCAACTCAGTAGGAAGCAAGTCTCCAAGGAGAATGTCTGCCCTTTTTGCCCACCGTGGAACATGGCCACCATGCCACACAAAGGCTGCACACATTGGTGGACATGTATTACTCAGGTTGGCACTCTGGCCACGACAGAAGACCAGGTGGAAAACCTCGTCCCCTCTACTTACATTAGAAGTGGACACAGGTACAGACAGTTCCCATGATCTGATGACCACCCGCTCAACCCAGGAGCTGTGTCCTGTCTTGGAGGAGGCCACTCAGGCACTTCCACCAGCATAGGCTGAGCACAGGCGATCAAGGTGTATGTGACATGTCAGGACACATTCACAGAGTCAGGCTGGGCTGTGGCTCAAGTGGTAGAGCACCTTCCTAGCAAGCGTGAGGCCCTGACTTCAATCCCCAGTGCCACCAACAAAAGAAAAGGATAAGAAACTCACAGAGCAAGCAAAGGAGTATGTTCCATGTAGAGTTTGGGCTTTGAAAACTAGGCTGTGACCTGGACCTGCTTCTCACAGCTGTGTGGTGTTGTGACAGTTAACTTCCCTCTCTGGAGTCCCTACCCTGCACTGGGGCTGGAGCTTAGGCAGGTGGCCGCCTGGGTTTGTAGAAGGACTCAGAGTGATCCATCTTCCTGCAGTGGTCCTGGGAGTCCATGGCAGAGCCCACCCCACCCCTCCTATCCGCTCCCCGCCCACACCACAGAACTACTCAGCACAGAAGGGCGTCGGCTGTGGATCAAAGCCGCCCCGCTGCACTTGGCTCTGGAGAAGCAGCGATGGCAAATCCAGCATCAGAGGAGCGTCTAGAAGTGCAAGCAAAGCAAAACCAACTTGGATGAATCCAAACAGACTTCGTTTTCTAAAACAAGATCAAAGCTTCCTCGCCAGACCCCATGCTTCAGAGGAAACCAGACGTTCCTGAGGGCTTTTAGAAGAATCTCGCTGGCAGAGCCTTACTGACAGATCACACAGGGACATCCAGGTCAGCTGCTGTGCTCAGAAGTGACCAGCAAAGGCCAGCCAGAAGACATTTTAAGAGCAACACTGGACAAGGCACTTAGGGTCTTGCACTTATGCCAGGGCCAGCCTGGACTGCCTTCCTTCTGTTTATGTTTTCAGCATGGCTGGGATGGCAGGTGTCATCACCACATGCAGCATTTTACCAGTTGAGGTGGGGTCTCATGTTTGCCCGAACTGGCCTTGAACTATGATTCTTCTGATCTTTGACTCCTGAGTAACTGGGATTACAGGTCTGAGGCACTGTACCCACCATATTGAGCAGTACTTTGCTGTGTGAGGACTGTGTTTATCTAAACCAGCTAATGGGCATCTGTGAATATTGTGGCTGGTGCTGCCTTGAGCACAGACAAGCTTCTCAGTGGTACTATTTCTGTTAGATGGGTGCCTCACTGGATGGATGGCGTTGCTGGATATTGAAGTGACACTGTGTTTAACCATTTAGGTAACACAAGTTGTTTTCCCAGCATCTGCACTGAGGTCCCCATGCCTCACACCATCACCAACACTTGCCACCAAACAGCCGTGACTCACAACATCCCAGTAGGCAAAGGTGGGATCCACTGTGGAGTAACCATGAGCTCCTTGGCCATTTGTGTTTCTTCTTTGGAAAAAGATCCCATATTCGAATTCACTTGTCTTTTCGAGTTGTAAGAGTTTAGATTTGAGGTTGGCAGTTGGTGTACTGGGATTGAACTCAGGGCCTAGTGCTTGCTGGACAGACGCTCTACCACCTGAGCTGCACTCCAGTCCTGCTTTTAGTTCACTTTGGGTGCTTTTTTGTGGATAGAGATCCTCCTACCTCTCTCTCTGGAGTAGCTGGTATTACAGGTGTGCACCTCCACGCCCAGCCCAAGAGTTCATCACATACTGTAAATACTCGATCCTTACCAGATGTACAGTTTGCAAGTACGTTCTTCCATCTGTGGATCACGGCTTCTCTTTCTTCACAGAGTGAATCATGGCGGGGGGTGGAGGGCTACTGAACTTTGATCCCTGAGTTCTGAGGGTGAGAAGGAGTCAGGTTGGGTTTTGGCTCTGACTCTGAGCCCCATGGCCCTATCTGCTTTGCTGGGCCATCTCCCTCCCTCCTGTGACATGGGGTTGGAGGTGGTGGCTGAGGCCACATGAGGGCAGTGCTGAGTCCTCCTCGAGCAAGGCCAGGCAGAGCCCTGGAGGGCCCCAGGATAGCTTATGGGGACAGAAGTCCCCCTGGGGCCATGTCAAGGGTGTTACTGGGGAAGATGGCTGCAAGTGACCACTCTGTCCCTCTCTCCATCCAAGTGACCACTCTGTCCCTCTCTCCATCCAAGTGACCACTCTGTCCCTCTCTCCATCAGCCAACAACATCTGCTTCTATGGGGAATGTTCCTACTACTGCTCCACGGAGCACGCCTTGTGCGGGCGGCCCGACCAGATAGAGGGCTCCCTGGCGGCCTTCCTGCCCGACCTGTCCCTGGCCAAGCGTAAGACATGGCGGAACCCCTGGCGCCGCTCCTACCACAAGCGCAAGAAGGCAGAGTGAGTGTGGGGACCTGGCCACTAACGTCCCTGCTACAGCGAGGAGTGATGGAGGGGACGGGTCATCCATGGCCCAGAGAAGGTCAGCTTGTCCATGGTCCACAGGCTGAGGAAGGCTGGGCTGTTTGCGGGCAGCAGGTAGAGGCGGGTTGTCCACAGTCCCAGGATTTGGGCTGTCCATCCCCAGGGCAGAAAGGGGTAACACCAACAGCAGATGCAAGCCCGGCTGGCATGGCACGATGACAGCGCGTGACCAGACAGCTATCGAGGCTCCTGTCTGAGAACTAGAAGTCCCCAGAGGCGCTGGCCTGCCGCTGAGGTCCCTCAAATCACAACCCCTCAATGTTTGAACTCAGCCTTGCTCTTGCCCTGCATCCCTGTGGTTAAGTGGCACCCCTGCTGTCAGCCAAGACATCCTTGTGACTGTGGTGTCCAGGCACTGTCTTTATAGTGATCTCCAAGCCACAGAGCCCAGATGATGGTGCCTGGTGCCTCTGGGACTAGTGAAGCAGTTCGTCACCTCCCAGCCCTGTACTTCTGCTGATGCAGCCTCGTGGCCTGTGGCTGCAGCGTGTCCTTCTGCAGACAGCCTGAGTCCTCCTTACAGTGTGAGCCACTGGCTCAGTGCTGACCTCAGCTGCCAGAATCGGGCCTGGGCCTCCCTGTCCACACAGAGGCCATTGTCTCATGCTGGCTCCCTGCAGGTGGGAGGTGGACCCTGACTACTGCGAGGAAGTAAAGCAGACACCCCCCTATGACAGCGGCCACCGAATCCTGGACATCATGGATATGACCATTTTTGACTTCCTCATGGGTACGTCCGTGGGGCTGCTGGCTGCTGGGAATGCAGACCCAGGCCCTGCCCATCTGGCACCGAGCAGGCGGGTGACACCCATAGCCAGTGGTGGGGGCCATGTGGTTTGAGGGGGGCGGGGTTGGGACGATGCTTGGGAGAGTAGGGGGACAGAGGCCCCTGAGCCCTGTGCTTGTCCCCACAGGAAACATGGACCGCCACCACTATGAGACCTTCGAGAAGTTTGGGAATGAGACGTTCATTATCCATCTGGACAACGGGAGAGGGTGTGTCCTTTGCACTGCAGACCTTGACTGACTAGCTGGCCCACCCATGTCTCCCCCCGACGTGGAACTGGCTCAGGGGGATGCAGGCCTTGGTGGGGAAAGAGAGACGTCCCCAACGGCCCATCCCTGCTAGAGATAGAACACACATGGGCAGGGAAGTGGACACCCTACCTGCTTCAGGGTCCCTGACATTCACCCTAGGAAATGCATTCTGGTGAGCCCTGTCAGCCTAAGGAAACTGAGGCCAGAGAGGCTGCTGCTCAGAAGAGCAGGGCTGATGAGCTAGGGAGAGGGTGGTCCCTGATTAACGAGGACTCTCCATAAAGACAAAAGCGGCCAGTTGCTGGATGCCACAGGGGTCAGCTTGGCACCCTGATGGTCCACATGTGGTCACAGGCCCCTGAAGAGACACCACTCTGGCTGCACTGTGGGCTGAACCTGGCCCAGGTGAGGGGCCAGGACCCCTCAAGGCTGGGCAGATGCACTGCCTGGTGTTCCCAGCCTGGTGAGGGGCCCTGACGGCTCTGCCCTCCTTCTGCAGGTTTGGGAAGTATTCTCACGATGAGCTCTCGATCCTGGTTCCTTTACAGCAGTGCTGCAGGTACGGCCACCCGCAGCCTCCACCCTCCTCCCAGTGAGCCCGACCATGGGTACCTGGGAGTGGCCTAGGCCCATCCTGCCCAGCCTTGCCCAGCTATAGCCGAGAGGAGAGAGGTGTCCATAGCCCCAAGTTCCCACCCACCCCACCACCATGGTCCCTGACTGCCCAGTCCCCTTCCTGGAGCTATCACAGGTAGGCTCCTTCCTGTGAAGAGCAGGTTATGGCCCTGGACAAAGTGGTCCTGCTGTACTGACCAGGGCCGAAGACCTGACCCTGCCACCTCTCCTGGGTTGTCAAACCTGGCCCCTGCTTTCACAGCTAAGAACACAGGCTTGTGGGGCAAAATGGTTTGTGCGTCCATCAGGGGACCCTGTGTCTCCTGTTTAATCCCAGGCAGACAGCCAAGCCCAGCTGGGGACTGTCCCTGGGGGAGTGGCTTGCCTTCCCTGGGTCTGCCCTGGGGACACCAGTCCCTGCAGGATGGGGCTCACCCACCATACACATTCGAGGCAGGGCCGACCCACACCCAGGCCTCTTGCTCTATCTCTGCCTATGTCTCTCTTTCTCTGACTTCTGTGTCTCTGCCTCTGTCACTTTGTCTCTCTCTCTCTCTGTCTGTCTGTGTCTCTCTGAGTCCCTGTGTCTCTATCTCTCTGTGACTCTGTCTCTCTCTGTGTCTGTGTCTCTCTCTGTCTCTCTAACTGAGATGCTGCCCTGCCCCAAGCCCCACTCCCCATGGCCAGCACCTCCCGACCTCTCTCTTTCCCCAGGATCAGGAAGTCCACCTACCTGCGTCTGCAGCTGCTGGCCAAGGAGGAGCACAGGTTGAGCCTGCTGATGGCTGAGTCCCTGCAGAGGGACAGGGTGGCGCCCGTCCTGTACAGGCTGCACCTGGAGGCCCTGGACAGACGGCTACGTATCGTGCTGCAGGCCGTGCGTGACTGCGTTGAGAAGGACGGGCTCCACAGCGTGGTGGAGAACGACCTGGACGCTGAGCACAGAGCCTCCACCAAGAGGTAGTGACCTGCAGCTGCCCACGCCAACCTCGAGGAAGGAGGAGGGCTTGGCCACGCACACCACGTGTGAATTCAGTGAATTCAGAGACAAGATGGGGGTTGTCCCCTCGCTGACCTGCAGCCCGGAGGGCGAGGCCTTCCACGTGGCTATAGCAGGGACTTTTGAGCCTCCATGTCCAGTAACAGCTAGGGAGGCACCAATGCTCATGGGAGAGCCCAGCCATGGAGGCTGAGATGCTCCGTCCTTTTTCTTAGGAAAGGAAGCCTTTATTTACTGTTTTGTATTTATATAAGGTGCACACACGTGCAAATGGAGAGCTGTCCACACAGAGCACGCGTCACCTCCTAGACTAAGTGGCCGGTCCTGAGTGGCTCCCACCCAGGCACAGGCACCATGGTGCACTCTCACCTCTGGACCTCGGTTGCAATAAAGACTTCTGCTCCTCTGTCCCTGGGCCTCAGCAATCAAGCTGGGGAACCCTGTTGGGGGTGGAGAAGGCTCCCAATGGACGTCATGTCCTGTAGTGGGCAGATGGACACCTGAGCGTGGCTTTCAGGGTAAACAACCAGTTATCCACTTGTCAAGTGCCCAGCAGTGGCTGGACCTTTCCTGTTGGCAAGCGGCACTGCCCGCCTTTGACTTTGCTCTGGACAGTTGGTGTAGACGCACAGGGTCCCTGGGCCGTGAGCAGTAGGCTAACCTTGAAGCATTTCTGTGGCATAGTTTGCAGTGTGGTAAAAGAACAATAAAGATACGGCAAGTATTTGTCTGCGGCCTCTCTGGGGCGGGGCCCTCTCGCTAGCCCTGCCGAGCACTAGGGCTGGACGTGGCTTGTGGAGGAGTCTGCGGGCCTGCTGGGGAGCCGCCTGTCAAGCCCTGGGTAGACAGGCCGGGGAGGCCTGCAATCCCACAAGGCAGAGGTGGGTGAGGGTACAATGGAGGGCAGCCACCCACTCCCATGAGAATCTCAGAGGGCTGGACAAGGTCCCTAAAGTCACATGAGGGCCCAGAAGGCATCCGGCATGGGGGATACCATGTCCCAACAGGAGCTGAGGGGCAGCTGAGAGCTGAGTCTGTCCACTGCTGATCCGGAGCTGAGCTCCCCTTTGAGTCCTGCCCTGAGGCTCCAGCTCCTCCACCTGGTGTGGCACTGGGCAGGGGCCTGGCTCAGAGGGCAGGGTCCAGGGAGAGGATGGTGGCAGTGGCTAGGCACAGGCCTGTGCCCTCCTCAGTCACAAGAACCCTGAGGCAGGGGGTGGGTAGTCACTGCCCCGTCCTCCTCCTGTCACAGGTCCCCTTTGTCTGCTCACCTCTACTACCAGGGTACACAGCTACAGTCAGTGGCAACCCCCAGGACACCAGGCCCCCCACAGACAGTCGGCTAAATCAGGCTGGTCTCTGAAGTAACACAACAGGGTTGCTCTCATTTTTCCTTATGGTAAACTGAGGCTCAGAGAGAGGATGTCAGGCCAGAGCCAATGAGGTTCTGGTAGGACAAAGTCAGTGCTGGAATCCACAAGAGCCCAGAGGGGTGCAGAGACCCGCCCCCCGGACTCCAAATCCCCAGCTAGGCTCTGCATAGCCAAACCAGCAGGACCTCAGAGTAGTGAATCTTTAGAGGGAATAAGTGGGTGACAGAGTGGCCCCAGAAACCTGCCTCCTCATCTTCCTCCTTTAGCACAAGGCCCAGCATTCACCACATGTGGCCAGGGACACACCAGCTGCACCCCCATATGTAAGTCGAGGCCCATTTCAGGCTTCCTGGGTAGGACAGAAAGCTGGGGTCTTGACTATCACATGTCCAGGGCTGCACAGCCCAGGAGTCCCATGATATCAGCTTGGCAAGGGACATCACAAATGTCCCCCCACTTCCAAGGCCCTCATTGTCAACAGACCTACTGAGCCCTGCGACAGGCCACACTGTGAGGACCTGTCACCATCACTGGGTGGCCAGAGCAGTGGCGCACAGAGGCATGTAATCAGTCCCAACATAGCCAGTGGGGAGGGCAAAGGGTCACCTCACAGGAGCACGATGGAAGGTACCCGTGTCCTCGTGTCCATAGGTTGTTAGCTAACCCTCAGTGTGACAGTGTTTGTGTACAGGGCCTTTGTGAAGGTGAATATGGTAAAATGAGGTCACTGGAGGTTCCCTGGTCCAATCTGACTGGTATCCTTATTGGAGATTAAGACTCAGACACACAGAGGGATGTCCTGTGAGGACACAGGGTCAGGAGGGGGCCTCAGGAGCAACTGCCTGACACCCTTGACCTTAGACTTCAGCCTCGAGCACTAAGAAAATATATTCCTGGGGTTTCACCACCTGATCTGGGGTCCAATGCAGATGGCCCCCAATGCTGTAAGGAGTCAGAGCACCACAGCAAGCAGGCAGGAGGTGCAGATGGAGACAGGGAACAGGCCATGGAGTGGAGGGTCCATGCTCTAGGGGGTCATTGTGAGGGCATGGAGCCTGCAGGAGGGGAAGACGCTGGGTGTCCTTAACACATCGGTGATCTAATTAGTGTTTAATAAATTGGGGGTCTAGAAGGAGGGAGGAAAATGCAGGGAGACAGCAGGGGCTGCCACAGACCTCCAGCCATCAGGGCCAGGTCATGACTGCCATCCAAGGACTCTGCGAGTGCCAGGGAGAGAAGGAGAAGGAAGTGTGCCTCCAGAACTGGCAGGAGCCCCCAGGGACTGGGGCGCCTGTCCCTGTGTAGGTGGACGAGGTTGGCAAGGGGCACAGGACAGCACACACTGAGACTCATCTGCTGTGCTCTCTGAAGAGGGGCTCCAGCACCTGAGCTGGTATAAAACTCAGGGCCGTGGCCTGGGGTTGAGCCCAAAGCCCTGGCCACAGGCAGGAAGGTGACCAAGGGCCACATCCAGCTTTCGTCAGCATTGGGAAGCAGCATCAAAGGCTGGAGGCAGCCACCCAGCCACGAGGAGGTTGGGTGTCCAGAGCCACCAATTCCTCACTGCTGACCACAAGCAGCCATGGCCACAGAAGAGTCCGTCATGGACAGATAGCTGAAACCAGGAGGAGCCATGACCTCAAGACACCATCAGAGAAGCTGGTCACCAGTGATGGGCCAGAAAGAAACCAGAAGGAGCAGGACATGAAATGGAGGATGTCACCCAGATAAAGACAGGGAGACCAGAGCTGGGACAGTGGCAAAGCAGAGCAAACCCTGGGCTCCAGAGCTCATGGGTGTGAGGGAAATAAACAAGGTAAATGAACAGACAAAAGCAAAACTTAGTCTGCAAACTGGGTGTGGTGGTTCCTGCCTATATTCCCAGCACTCAGGAAGATGAGACAGGAGAATCCAGAGTTCAAGGCCAAACTGGGCTACATAGAGAATTCCTGTCTCAAACAAACCCAGCACTGAAAGATGCAGAATTCCTGATTACACAAGCCAAGTTCCAGCAGAAAGAAAGAGAGAAGGGGCAAAAGCCCCAGGGTTCTGGAGGAAACCGGACCTCGGGTAGGAAGGAGATGTCTTGGCCTCCTGTCTCCAGGGCCCCTGGAAGGTGCATGCCAGGCCCAGGTCTGCGCTTGTCCTTGGCCTTCTATGCAGCCATCTCAGACGCTGCTCAACGGCAGAGCTGAGACCTCAACATGTCGGCCACTCCAGCCCACGGAGATGGAAAGATATGTTCAGAAAGCAGCCTCTAAACCTCACGGGAGAACAAGCACATCCAAAGCAGAATCTGAATCAGGACAAAGCAAGAGGACACAGCAAAGAAGCGAGGGCCAGGAAAATGACAGTGTCCCCAGAGACACCTGGCCACCCTGGCTCAGTGGACACATCAGGTCCTGGGAGCTCCACGAACAAGATTCTGCAGGAAAGACACAGGTGCCACCCAGAAACCAGGCCAGGGAGACAGTGCACCCAGGAGAGAAAGGGTCACCAGGGTCATCCAAAGACAGGGAGCACGCAGGGGCACTGGCTCAGCTGGGGGGATTCAAATGACATTTTCCCTTCCTTTTTTACAGGCCTGGAGATGGGACCCAGGGCCTCACACATGTTAGGCAAATCTGTGCCACTTGAGCCACAAACCAGTCCTGGTTTTTGTTTTTGAGATAGGGTCTCACTACCTTGTTGCCTGGGGCTGGCTTCAAACTCGAGACCCTCCTGCCTGGAATTACAGGCATATGTCACCATGCCAGGCTGGGAATTTTCAAGGGAGGGAAGCTTATAGATAGAGTGTAATGCAGGTCTGTTGTTCACACAGAGAGATAAATACAAAAACAGAGCCAGGGACCAGGGAGACACAGAAACTGCTTTTCTCTGAGTCTGCTGTGGGAAGATGTGGGACCTGCTGCCTTTCATGATCTGACCATGATGTCATTTAGGACTTTAAAAGATATTCATGTATTGCTTTGATAAAAAATTGAAATAAGGTATGACATTGCTGGGAAGAAGTCAGTGGGGTCAGCCCAGCACTGGTCACCGGTACCCAGAATAGGCTCCACTCTTTTCTTTTTTGGCAGAACCAGGGTTTGAACTAAGGACTTTTCAATTGCTAGGTAGGCACTCTACCACTTGAGCCACCCCGGGCCCCACTCTTAATCTCTTTGTTCTTCCAGGTGACTCTACAGGAGTCCCTCTTACTGTGCCCACTTCACAGCTCTGAAAAACAATGAATGACGTGGCTTAGCACAGGCCTGTAAGACCCCAGCTGCCTGTCACTCCAGAACCCCACACTTCCCACCCATCTCAGGTTCAACACCCAATGCTAGGGCTACAGTAACACAGCCCTGCAGCCTGAAGCAGGACCCCACCCAGTGTGGCCCAGCGGTGCAAGGGGAAACAGGAGATCATTCCCCTCTCAGCAGCGAGGAAGGGCAGGGCTCCACCAAGAGGTCAGCAAGAAACAGGTGGGCTAAAATTCAAACATGAATTTTAAAAACTGGAGGAGCAAAGCAAACCCCTCCTTACTCAGCCTGAGGTTTCATTTTGGGGAGTGAGGGGGGTGAAAAGCAGAGGGCTCCCTGCATTAAAAAAAAAAAAATGAGATGGGCCAGGCAGGTGGCTCAAGCCTGTAATCCCAGCTGCTTGGGAGGTTGAGATCAAGAGGATTGAGGTTCAAGGCTAATATGAGCAAAAAGTTCAAGAGACCCCATCTCAACCAATGGCTGAGTGTGGTGTTTCGTGTCTGTCATCCCAGACAGGTTGGAAATGTAAATAGGAGAATCACACTCTAGTCTGGACCAGGAAAAAATCAAGATCCCCATCTCAAAAAGAACCAATGCAAAAAAGGGCAGGGGGAGTGGCTCAGGTGGTAGAGCCACCTAAGGCCCTGAGTTCAAACCTCAGTGCTGCCAAACAAACAACAACAAATGTAGAAGGTGCCTGGAAAGCTGTAGAAGGCCCAGGCAGACAGATCCAGGGCTCACACAGAGAGCAGTTTGTCAGGGTTTACAAGAGCAGCTGTCCAGGCATCAAAGGCGGGAGGAAGTTTGCATGCTGGCCTAGGCAAAGGTTGGCTACGGCCAGCTGGAGGGCACCTGGTCCTCCTCAAAACTCCTCACATCTCCAGTGAAAGTTAAGGGAGAGGCAGGTGTCGGTGGCATGTGGTTAGGCTCCCCTCACCATCTCACTGTCTTAACAACTTGCCCCGTAGGGCTTGGGGTGCAGCCAGGGCCACCTGGAGCACAGGACTACTGCAGTCCTGTCTCTTGTGTCCCTGCTCCCCTGTGTGTTTGAAGTCCCCCTATGCACAGGCATTTTTCTGCCTCACTCTTCTCAGAGCTGCACTTACAATGTTGCCATCTGCTTTCAGAAGAAGGGGTTCAAGGCTGGCTGAAAGCAGCATCCTGGAGGCGTCCCCTGGAAGGGCTGGGGCTTCCTGACCCCCCTCATTCCCCTGAAGCAACCCCTAGGACAGGGGAGGCACAGAGTGTCTCTAGGGCCAGCACTGAGTGGGGTCCAGGTGGGTCAAATCAGTGTCCCTTGAAATGCCACTTCCAGCAGCCTCAGCCTGGGTGGAGATGGCCCCTGCAGTACCCTGGGATCTCAGGTCAGCCAGCCTCTGCCCAGGG